CATTTGATCCATTTCAATTTTAGTGGACTACATGGTAAGACATATGAGTTTAGGTTTAATATTTGGCATGTGGAAATCCAGTTCTCCCATCACTATTAAAGATGCTATCTTTCTTCCAGTGAGGGTGTTTGCCCCCTTTGTCAAAGATAAGGTAGCGGAGTGTGTTTGGAGTTGTTTCTGATCTTTAATCAGTTCTGCTGATCATTTGGTCTATTTTTTGGCCAGTACCATAATGTTTTGATAATTGTAGCTTTGTAGTATACTTTCAACTCAGATATTGTGATGTTCCCTGCCTTCTCTGTTACCCAGAATTGCTTTTTCTCTTCTAGGCCACTTTGGTTTCCAAGTGAATTTTAGGATTGTTTTCTATAAGTGAGGTTTGCTATCAGTATTTTGATAAGGTTTGGATTAAATCTGTGTAACAGTTTAGGAATTACAACTATTTGCACTATATTGGATCTTCCTTCAAGAACAAGAGATATATTTCCTTTTTTTATGTCCTTTTTGGTCTTATTTTTAGTATTTAATGTAAAGGTCCTTCACTTCCTTTGTTAAGTATTTAAATTTTTTATGCTATTGTGAAAGGTGTGTTTTCCCTCATTTCTCTCTCTTGGTGAGTTTATTTGCATATAGAGATGCTATTGATATTTGAGTGTTAATTTTCTATCCAGAGCTGTAAAAGGCTCAAGTCAACAACTTCTGACATTGCTAGTCCTGTAGATAACCCACTACTATTATGGTCTACTGGACTATATTGGATTATTTTGCTGAATTCATGCACCTACAATATTTGAATGGCAATGGAATACCCATCTCTGACAAAACCAAACAAAAAAGGGGAATATAAATGAAGGACCATTTTGTAGTGAAAAAAATTATATATCTGTGTATATACAAATTAGTTAGGTTTGATATACAGCTACTTTCTCTTAGTTCAGTAAGAAGAAAGATTTGTACTAATAGTGTTTAGACAAGATATCATGGCTGAATCTTGTACTATGAATAACTACTATGAAGACAAAAATATACAATATATTAATTATTATAACTGTCCTGCTAACCTGTTTTGAAGCTGTCTTATAGCTATTTCTTTCTCAATAAAATTAATTTTAAAAAAATAATAATTTTCTATCCAGCTATACTACTAAATTTGGTTATTAAATCTAGAAGCCTTTTGTGGAGTTTCTGCTTTATCCTATATAAAGTATCATGTCATCCCCAAATAATGATAATTTCACATATTCCTTTTCTGTCTTTATTCTTTTTATTTCTTTCTCTTGTTTCATTTGTCTGGCTAATGTTTTCAGAATTGTATAAAATAGGAGTGATGATAGTGGACATCCTTGTCTTGTTCCTAATTTTAGAGTAAAAACTTTCAGTTTTTGACCATTAAGTATAATGTTGGCTGTTGGTTTGTCATAGGTTGCTTTTATCAGATTGAGATAAAGACCGTCTATTCTGATTTCCTGTATTAGACTTTGCCAAACACTTTTTGTGTGTCTTACTGATTTCTTACTTCTTCTGTTACCACTTCAGAGAGTTCAGGTGGGTGGCTTTTGGTTTGTTCCACCTCACTGCCCCCTGGGTTAGCTTTGGGCAAGCTAGAGGTCAGTAGTTGCATCTTGCTTCCATGTCTTCAAATTTGCTATTTTATACATTTATTTTCTGCATTGATGCATGTAAATTGCTTATGGTAGGTAGCTTCATTACCTGTATCAAGAACTCCTTAGGAAGTGATTGCTTTTCAGAGATGTCTTCTAAATATAGCTGGATTTTGAGTCTGTCACAATAGCTACCTCCTCAGTTTATAAGGGATGAGAAGTTGTTGCCTGATTGGCCTTATCCCTGGTTCTTTCTTCCTTTGTTATATATTTGGTACAAGGTCTCACTATGCAACTCAGACTCATAGTAATCCTCCTGTTTCAATCTTCCCAGTGCTGAGATTACCGGAGTGCTCCCCCAAGTCCGGACTTGATTGCTGGCTGAGTATGCCCTGAGGGTGGGACTGGTGTGGCATGCAGTACCAGGGATCAAACCCTGGTCCCTGTGCTTGCCTAAGTAGGTGCTTAGTCTGATGAGCTAGATTGCCAGCCCTCCCTGGTTCTTGGGTATTAGACAAGAGTATTATAGTACTGGACAAAATATCATAGTATTGTTTATGACTTTCAGACGATCCTGGTCTTGGTATACAAGGAAGAGCAACTGATCAGAACAACCATGCACATGGCTAAAACAAGCCAATCAGTAATAACAGTAGAATCCAGCCCAGCCTAGAAAATGTCAAAATGTGGAAACCATTAATTTGCCATTTTTAACCATACAAAGATGATTTTTAGTTATATGAATAAATACAAAATCTAAACAAACCAGAAATTTATATACAGCAAATATATCCCCAACTGAGCAATTTTGCCCTCTGTTGAGAAATTAATAGGGATACGAGAAAAAGAGAACTAAAAGAAAGAGATTAGAAGCAAGGTTGAAGGACAAAAGAAGAGCCCTTAAGCTTATGGAGGCTGGTGAAGAAGACAAGAAAGAAGACATAAAAGCAAGGAGCAAGCAAAACTAAAAACTAAAAACATTTACACACTCATGAGAAAACAAGAATGTTCAAGCAAAAATTTAAAATACAAATGAGAGATTTCTCTGTGATTTCAAGCACGTGGTTACCTTTTAGGGCTTCAGCTCTGTGGTGGGGGAGTGTCCACTCGAGGGCAAGTCTCTGCTGTCCTGGTAGGCGAAGGAGGCTCACAGAGCCCAGGTCCGTATTGCATGATCCCAATAAGAGCAAGCTCAGGTACTGATTCAGGTCTAAAGAGATTCAGGTGGATCCCAGTCTCAGGCTGTGGGCCTGTGAACCAGGTTTGGGGCTGTTTCTTGCCAGCTTGATCTCAGCTCCCCAACCTGGGCATCTGCCAGTGCTATGACTTACCCAGATGCTGGCAGCCTCAAGATGGATCCAGCCCACCATTGCTCCAAGTCCCGGGTTCAGCTGGCCTCACCTCAGAATATCATCTGCTCAATAACCCTCCCCTGGGGATGTTTGGAATGGAGTCACTCACCAGCTGCTGCTGCAGGCCACTGACCTGTTTCAATGATGTGCTCTGCCTCTGCATTGATCTGGGGAGGTCTTTGGGGCCCCCACCATCACTGTAGACTCAAGTCCTCTCATGCCATAAGCCAGGACTCAATGCAGTCTGCCAGTGAGCCAAGAGTCAGGGAGGAAGCAGTTGGCCACGTCTTTCTCCTATCTTGAGGTCCATCAGCTCACACTCTGAATGGGCTCCAATTCTTTTTCCAGAAACTTCCTCTCCATCTTTTCTCCCCCAAGTTGCTTCTGGTCTCCCTTTCAGAGAGGCCAATCTGCCATTGCTCACCACTTTACCATCTTCCTGGATCTGGGTTGGTTTTGATGACCTGATTTTTCTCCTCCTTATGAATCGTGTTGTCTTGCTTCTTCGTGTGCCTGGCAAATTTTGATTGGATGCCAGACATTGTGAATTTTACTTTGCTGGGTATTCCTGGACTTTTCATATATGCTTGAGCTTTGTTCTGGGATATGAATTATTTAAAGGAGTTTGGTTCACTTGAGGCTCACTTTTAGAGCTTTGGTAGATAGGGTCAGTTGATCTTTGTTTTGGTCTCATTCTCTGCATGCTGAGCTAACACCATTCAGTGTGCTTTTGCCTACATTCCTCTGCACTGGGACTAATGGAAATGGAGCTCTTCCCAGTGCTGTGTGAGCTCAAGGGTCCTTCTATCTGGTCCTTCTGGGTGGTTCTTTCCCATGTGCACTGTGTGTGTTTGAAGGTGGGCCTGCTCTGCCAATTGCCAGACCCTTCTTTCCATGCAGGTCCCTCCTCTGGTTTCTCACTGCTCACCCTGGCCACTTTGGTGTCCCCAAACTGCCACCTCCAATGCCTCCAGTTGAGGGGTCCCTCTTGTTCCCTTCACACTGTACCAGAAAGTGGCAACTGTCCCGCAGCTTCCTGATGCCATCCAAGCTGGCCTTGTTGGTGCCCCATCTCTCCGTGACTACAGTGCTATTCTGCTGCTGTGTGATGTCTGATAGCTGTGATTTTTGTGTATTTTTCCAATTTTCAGTTTGCTTCAGGCAGAAGGTGAACCCAGATCTGGCGGCACCACTTACCTGCAAGCATTAGTGCCTTTCCCGTCACTTTTAGGACCCTGGATTTCCCTGAACATGGAGGGGGAACCCTGGGCAGAGTCTGAGGGGGCCTGAGTTGCTTATATGGTGGAAGAATTGAAGGAATAAAACATGAAGAGATGAGCTGCAGCCTAAAATGCCCCGCAGTTTACCTGCTCCACTTGCTAACTGTTGCTGCCCTCCGGGATGTGCCCTTGGACAGCCCAAGTCAGGCTTCACTTGAAGGAGGTGCCAGAAATGAGAATTGAGAGTGGACAAGCAAAGCTGTGGGGCCCCCCAGAGAACTGGGGGCAGAATGTACAGCTTCCTCAAAATCAAGGATATCTTCTCTTTGTGGCAACTGTCAGTCTGTGGAAACCCTTCCCACGTTTTCAAAACAGGAGGAACAAAGGAGAAACGACGCCAGCTTGAATAGGCTCCACATCCTCCACCTACGCCTGAGCTCTCCCAACCTCAGAGATCCCTCCCATGACCCCTAAGCAACCAAGGCAGACTTCTGTGTGGTCCTGAAGAGACTGGCTCGTCCAAGTCAGTGTGAGAGCTGGAGCAGGGATATAGCACCCTGAGCCCTCCTGCACCCCACTAGTGCATCTGCAGCACTTGTGCAGGATGCCCAGACACTGCCATGCCCTGGGGACATGCTGCCTCCTCCACCATGTCCTGAGGCTCTTCCTCTGTCCTCCTTCCAGGCCATCAAAGGCAGGTAGGGGTAGATACGGGGAAGGACACTATAAGCCTGACCACCACTAGTATCCCCTGCACTGGCACCTTGAGTACAAGCAAGCACCTTCAGACCTTCAGACTCTGACACCAGGACCCTTCTCCATTTCAGGAACCCCTCTTCCATCTCCACATCCATGTTGGAGACAGCACACACGAAGGCCCCTCAGGACTCTGCCTGCAGGAACCGGCAGGCCCACCCCTCCAGCATCCTGCCCCACAAGTCTATGAGCAGCCAGGCAGCACTAGTGTTCAGTGACAACATGTTCTCGGATAAAAACTACAGCTCAGGTGACTCTTCTCCCTGGAGCTCAGCCATGAAAGGGGAGGGGATCTAGATCCTGCCACATCCCTCCAAAAGAGAAAGGCCCAAGGGTGAGGGACCTTGAGATGACAAGGGGTGTGGTGAGCATGTTACTCTTTCAGCATAGAGCCCCCCAGAACCTGCTGGGATTGTTCACGCCTCCTGAAATACCATCCATAATTCAATACATGCCCATCTCCCACCCCCTTCCACTCTCCTTCTGTAACTTAGAACCTCTGCTGAACCTGACACCTCCTTGGAATACTTTCCCCTTTACTCAAACAACAAGGAGTGCTAGGTGACAGGAGATAGAGGGGAAGGATCAAAGACTGGATCAGTGGAGGGAGAGAAGGATGGGTGAATTTATGAATGGGTTGGTGGATGGATTGATCAGTGCCTAGGTCAGTGATGGCAAACCTTTTAGAACTTTCAATGATATAAACAGTCCACTGCACTAAGAGTACTATAGGTTTGCCATCTCTGGCCTAGGTGGGTGAATGTGTAGATAGATACAAAAATGGACAAACAGGTGGATAGACAGAGGATCGAAAAACATGTATGGATTAATGTGTGATAGGAGGGATATATGGGTAGATGAATAGATGGGTGATGGATAAATAGATTGATAAAAATGCAAGCGGTTCAATGAATGGTTGGAAATATGAATGGCCAGTGAGGATACACAGATCTGTGTGTATCCCTGTTTTTTATCCTGTAACAAACTTGGTCAGGGTCACTTAGACAGGGAGGAGGTCCAGCACCTCCCACTGCACCCAATTTCCCCATCCCCATTTTCAGTTTACCCCTTGCCCTCCCAGACCCGTCCTTTCCTACCCACCCAGAACTGCTACGATGTGACGCTCCCATAGTCCACACACCCTCATCCCTTCTTGCTACCTTCAGCAGTTTGCAACAAGATGCTCCAGGAGATCGGCAACTCAGAACTTCCCTACCTGCAGTTCATCATGAAGAGAATCAGGAACGCGGCTCAGAAGTGCCCTGACTTGGTGATGGAAGCCATCTACAACTACTTCACAGACAACCCACAGGTAGAAGCTGATTGGGCCCCTGGGGAACAGAGGGGGAGGGACTGACCCCAAGCAGGGCTCAAATCCTGGGTCCTGTGTAGAGAAGCTGCATGACTGGGAGCAAGTATCAATCTCCTTCTAGTCTAAGTGGGCCAGAGAGGAAGGGAGGAGAGCAGACAAGCATGCGCTGACCACACTCAGAAAAGGCACAGGGGGTAGATGTTATGAGCCAGTAATTGGCAGAGATGGACAGATGGGTGGACGGATGGATGGACAGATGGATGGATGGATGGACAGATGAACAGATGGATGGATGGATGGACAGATGGATGGATGATGGATGGATGGACACATGGACAAATGGACGGACAGATGGACAGACAGATGGATGGACGGACTTATGGATAGATGGTTTGGTGGGAAGAACATCTGCCTAAGTATTAAAAAGTGAAATGAATCAACAGCTGATCTGACTTTGAAGATGGAAATTTTTTAAACTGCTACAGCAATTCCCTAAGGCTAGGAAGACATTTTTGTTCTTCATGATCCCTGCAGCTCTGATTTAAAGCCTGTGCAAAGCAATATTTACTGAGGGTTATTGAGTGAGTGGTCAAAAGCAGCTGCCTGTAGCCTTTTGCTCTGGCTTCTTCACACATCCTCCCACAGACGTGTGCCACGTGGTCACACCCAACCATCCCAATGTACCTTCTGCCGCCCACAGATCTCCAGCCGGCACAAGTTCCGGCTCTTCCAGGTCCTGGAGAATGTCATCAAAGCCAGCAACTGCCTGGAGGAGCCCTGGAGGAAAAACTTCATGCAGCTGGCCCTGGATCACATGACCAAATCCACGGTGGGCCTCCACTCCCCCCCCCTCACACACAGGACAGTCAGTCCTCAGGCCCTTGCATCTGCATACAGTTGCTCAGGACTCCAAATGGTGACTCAAACGCCAGCCTTGTGGCCTGCCAGGCATCCTCTCTTCTTAACATCCTGGCCATATGCCCCATTGGGGGGGGATGACAATATCATGCATTTGCCAGAATAGGCAGCTGAGCCCCAAGAGGCAGTCCTTGTCTAAGACCACAGGTCCCCTAAGTGGAGGCAGAAGTTCAGTTGAAGCTCCTCCTCTTGCACAAGTCCCTCCTTGAGGTGGGCTCAGGTGCCCCTGCTCACCACTGTCCTTACCAACCCTTTGCTGCTACCTACAGATTAGCTCTGGATAGCTGCCTGCCAACCTAACCGATTCCGCAGGCCTTGATCCAGCCCTGGGCTGCCAGCTTGGCCATGAACTGCCCCCCACACCCTGACCTGGACCCCCAGCCAGGCCGGGAGTCAGGTTGTTCACTCTCTGCAGGCTGGCCAGCAATCTCTGTGGCTACCCCTGGGAGGTGGGGGGCAGGCAGCTTCACTCAGATCCACTAGCCCTGGAAGCCCCAAAGTGGACTACTCAGTACAGACAGGATGAGCAAAGAGCAGTGACGGGCACCCTGGCCCACCACAACCCACGTCTTGGTACCTTACAAGTCTGAAGAGGCCCATTTCACCCTCTGTGTTGTGTGGATGACACAGAAGGCTAATGCCACAAAAAAAGGTTTTTAGTACCACCCTCTCACTCAGAAATGAACATCACTCCATGCCATATAGGGCCATGAGTGGTCTGCAGGGTGGGGACAGACAGAGGAACCACAAGTGCACCCATATGACTGCAACTATGAGTAGTAATAAATGGGAATGGCCTCAGGGCCACTAGGAGGACACAGGCCAGTCAGGATCCATGGTTGGTGGGTTATAATTGTGACTAGTGGCAAGCCTACCAAGACATAAACTGTGGTAATGTTTAATCTGCTCTGTGTGCAGCAGGTTCAGGAAAGGTGGTTCAGAATGTGTCCAATGACGAGGAGTCCAAAGGCATAGGCAAGACTCCCTCCTTCCTCAGAAGCCGCTGTAGCCACCCTTTCGATACGTTGAACATGACGTATCAGCATAATTCAATGAGTAGGGAGAATAGGGTGGAGGGGTTTTAGACGCCTTCATGTTCAGACACTGCTGAATACAGGCAGCCCTGCCATGCTGCTCTGCACCAACAGCCACCACCGGATGGGAAGGAGTAGCACTTTATCAAAGTGAGAAGGAAATACCAGTGCACCTGCTGAGACAGGGCAGGGCACCCTGGCATAGGGCCAGCCCTGGACACGGGGTCCCTTCCTGCCAGAGCATGACCCGCAGGAGAGAGGGCCCCTGACAGGACCCAGCAAGACCCAGAGAACTGCAGCAGGCTCTGCCCTACAGCAGCTGGCATGCTCTCTCCCCATGCAAAGAGCCCTAGGGCAAGAACAGCCTCTGGCCTTAAACACATGGTGACAAAGAATGAAAGGATGAGGCCAGGAGCCAGGAAGGAAACAGGTGATGTCAGATGGAGACTTCAGACAGTGGGCCTTAGAAATGGACCAGGATCTGGATAGACAGGCGAGCAGAAAGAGAGCCCAAGGCAGGGGCGCAGCATGCCAAAGGCTTCAGAGCAGAAAGGAACCTCAAGGGCCTATGCCTCCAGGACTACAGGCGTGGATAGTAATAAGTGGGAACCCCCTGGGCCAGTGAAAAAACATGGGCCAGGCAGCGCCAGCATGTCCTAAAGTTGCTGGAGAGCAGGGAATTCAGAGTCAGGAATAAAGAGCCTCTCAGTCTCTGTTTTCCAAATAAAGGGTTGATCCAGCTGCCTGGCCAGACAAAAGCAGACTTTCAGCACTACAAAAGCCTGCTCTCATTTCTGGACCCTACTCTCTCCCCAGGAGCTGGAGGACACTTACCAGGATGCAGCCAGCAACATTCTGGTGGCCATCTGCAAGCACGCGTGGCCGATGGTGGCTCAGCACCTGGAGGCCGAGCTCCTGACCGGCATCTTCCCACACCGCAGCCTCTTCCATGTCATGGGCATCCTGTCCTCCCATGGTAGGTCCTGCCCACAAGACAGGAGGTCAAGGGGAGATCCAGGCCCGCAGAGCACCAGTGTCCACAACAGTGATGCTGTCCTGTATGTGGGCAGCAACAGTTGCCACCTCTTGCCAGGGAGTCCGCACTAGAGGGTAGCACCAGGCACTATGCTACCACCAGCCTGACTAATGGGCCTGCTCTCAGTAACCAGGACAGATCCCAGAGAGGGCAGTGACCAACCAGAGGCCATTAGAGAGGCCTTCTGGGATGAGCCAATCTGGAGCAGTAGGAGCAAGGCTCACTTGGCAAGGACCTCTGAAGGGGGGTGGTCAGCCAGCAAGCTCAGCAGGTAGAAGCTGGGAAGGTCTGCACTCCGAGGCCTGAGACAGCAGGACCTTGCTTGGCTTGGCCTTGTGCCCCTGCGCTGGAAGTGGCTGGCAAGCTGGGAGAGGGATCCTCTGCACCCAAAGCAGCCCCTCCCTTGGAGGTGGGATTCCTAAAATTCCTGAACACATTCTGGACTCTCAGAGCACCCCTCCTGTACCTCCACCCTCACACTTGCCTGGGAAGACTCCAAGGCACAGAGAAAATACAGTCTGAGGTCACATAGCAAGGGGGCAGGGCCATCATTCTAGCCCAACTGGCTGGGTCCTGAGTCCATTCCCAGCCTGTGTTCTCCTGCTAACCAGGCCAGGCTGAGGCAAGTCAGTGTCACCCTGACTCAGCCAGTGCCTGAGGAATGGGGAGAAAGGGAAGAGGGTCTGCCCTTGGCTATGCACATCAGAGATGGCCCTATCTCCCATCCCCCTCCTGCAGAGGAGCTTCTCAACCAGGAAGACAGAGCGCACTGGGAGGAACTGCTGGCCCAGGTAGGGACACCAGCAGGAGGGGCAGCGGCAGGCACTGGGGTACATGCTGCAACCCACAAGTGGAGGAAAGAAAGGAAAAAGAGAGGGGAGGATGGGAGCAGGGTGGCAGAGGGGACCCCCATTTTTCAGATGAACCAGCAGCATCCAGGATGAGGTGACCTGGTTACAGGAGGAGTTGCAACTTGGGCCTTAGTCTCTAGAAGCGTGATGCAGAGAAGAGGCCAACACACACCACCCGCCCCACCCATCGTGGGAAGGAGAGAAACGATGCGAGGCCAGAGCTGGAGCCAGGGACAGAAGGGAGAGGTCGGGGAGGACAGCAGGAGGCCATAGCTGAGAAACAGTCCCATCTCTGACACATATGGGGATGAGGGGGTTGATACTGCTGGGAAAGGGGAACAGGGCCCTGGGCAGACGTGGGTTCACGTCCTGGCACAGCCAACCACAGTATGCACTGGGGCAACCTCCTTTCTCTCTCTGCCTTCATTTCCTCGTCTGTCAAATGGGGATAGAAGTCCCTTGCTCGAATAGACATGAAGACAGTAGGCACTAATCCCCAAAAAGGGTCTGCACAGAGGAGACACAGGAAGCCTCAGGGAGGGGAAGTCACACCCTCATAGAGAAGCAGCAGCAGTGTTAAGAGCAGCAGAACAGCAGGAACAGAGGACAAGTGACTGAAAGAGCAGGAGGCCTCGCAGCACAGTGAGCCAAACTGGCATTCCTGTTCACGCGAGCAGGGCACTGCCAGGCCAGACCACATGCTCGGCTCCAAGTTCCAATAAATTCAGAAGGACTAACGTCAGAGTACTTTTTCTTATAAAAACATAAACTAGAGGTCAATGTTAAAACATATCTGGAAAATCTCCAAATTCCTAGACATTAAACAACACCTGCTAAATAGCCCGGGTGAGTATAATTATGTCGCACAAGAACTCGTAAGGAAAATTAGGAACTGCTCTGAATGGAACGTACTGAAAAATACCACATGCAAACATTTATAAGATAGAAAAGCAATGCTTCGAATGAAATTTGTATTACTTATTTTGAATTTGTATTATTTGTATTAATTGGAATAATGATTAACACCTGAATCAGGCCCGTGTTTTCCACCATGCAGCGTGCCACGGTATGAAATGATGAGTTTCGCAAGAGGAAATTTACTCAACACCCAGCCACACGCGAAGCCAGAGGCTAAGGCTGAACCTCCCCTCCTGAGGACAGGGGTGGGGAAATAGATGGGCTCAATCTTGGGAAAGATGAAGAGATTAGACTTCACCACCCATTGCATCGGCCCTCCTAGGTCACAGGTGTCACCCGCAGTCAAGTGATTACAAGCAGGTGAAACCTAGCAGGTTTATTCATGAGCAGGTGGCCATCCAGGACTTTCCCATCAGCCTCATTCCTACCAAGAAAACTTCCAGCTCAGAGACTTCACTGGTGGATAGTTAAGAAAGAACGTCACTTCTGTACAAATCGTGAAGAAAACAGGAGGAAGAGACAGTTTTCAAGTCATTCTGTAAAGCCAGTGCAGCCTGTACCAAAACTAAGAATATTACAAGAAAACTACAGATCTACAGCTTTCATAAGGATAGACTCAAAAAGCTTCAGTCAAATATTAGCAGTTGAGCAGAAGTAAAATAGACCAAGCAGAACTCATCAAGAGATGCGTAGCCAGTTTAGTGCTTGAAAAGCAATAAATGTAATTCTAGACATTAACATAATAAAGTAGAAAATTACGAATATATTTATGAAAATTGGGAAGAAAAGGCATTTGGCAAAAGCTCTGGGAACAGTGGCAAACATCTGTAATCTCAGCTACACAGATGGCTGAGGCAGGAGGATCACAAGTTGATGGACAGCCTGGATAACTTAGCTAAAACTACAAAAATTTTAAAAGATTTTTATAATTTAATACTTACTAGTATTCATTGACAAAGGATCTATAAACTGTGGTACAGGGTTTCAGGGTAAATCCTGAAGGGATTTGACTGACCTTATCACATACAAAAGTTATAGTTCTTGTTATATAGGTCTTTCTTTATCTTGGTCTTAACCATCCAGGTATAAAAAGTAAAGCCATATTAATATGCTGAGCTGTGAAAGGCTCAAGTCAACAACTTCTGACATTGCCAGTCCTACAGATAACCTGCTACTATTATGGACTACTGGACTATATTGGATTATTTTGCTGAATTCGCGCACCTACAATATTTAAATGGCAATGGAATACCCATCTCTGACAAAACTAAACAAAAAAGGGGGATATAAATGAAGGGCCATTTTTTTATCTGCATATACAAAATAGTTAGGATAGATATATAGCTACTTTCTCTTAATTCAATGAGAAGAAAGATTTGTACTAACAGTGTTTGGACAGGATATCATGTCTGCATCTTGTACTCTGAATAACCACTATGAAGACAACAATATGCAATGTATTAATTATTGTAACTGTCTTACTAACCCATTTTGAAATTATCTCATTGCTATTTGTTTCTCAATAAAATTAATTTTTAAAAAAACTTACTAGTATTAAAAATCTCTAACAAACTAGAGGTAGAAAGAAGCTGACCCAGCCTGAGAAACACAGCTAGCCCTGCAGCTAACATGCTTCCTGAAGATTAAATGTCTTCCCACTAAGATCAGAAATAAGGCAGAGACGTCCGCTCTCTCTGCTTCCTGTCAGCCTTCAGCAGCCAGTCCAACAGGGAAGAAAGAGCACAAAGAAGGAAAAACAGAAAAGGCATTAAGATATAAGTGAAAAACTGAGACTGCTTTTGCAGACAGGATGACTACACATCGAGAAAATATTAGTCTTAAAAAGAGTAGAACTGATCATCACCAGGGGTCAAGTTTAGCAAGGTCGGGCCGAGAACATAGCTCAGCAGTCTAAGTGTCTTCCTGGCAACCCCAAGGACCTGGGTTCCATCCCCGGTACCACATGCCATTCTGGCCCCTTCACCAAGCCAGCCACCAAAACGGGGGATGGTAGTGAGTGCCTGTAATCCCAGCACTAGGGAAGTTGAAACAGGAGGATCCCCATGAGTCCAAGCTTCGTAGTGAGACCCTGTACCAAATAAATAAATAAATAAATTTTTAAAAATTAAAAAATTTAGCAAGGTCTCAGGATATAAAAAATAATAATAGAGCAACTGTTTACTAGCAACAAACAGTTGGAAAAATGCATTTTCAATGAAAGCATCATGAATGATATAAAAGACTCAAAGAAAGATTAACACCACAAAATATATGCAAAGTCTTGACAAAGTATTGCAAAGAGATATGTGGATAGAAATGATGTTCTTGCACAAGAAAATTCAAAACTGTTAAGATGTTAACTCTCACAGAATTGACTTACAAACTGAATACATCACTAACCAAAATACTAGAAGACTTTATATAGATTGAATTTTATGTGAAAATTTCAATAGACCTAGAATAATTTTTTTAAAAAATCTTGAAAAGGAAAGGCACAGTTACAAGAATCTCGTTACTTTGATTTCAAGACTTAGTAAAAGACTGTTAACTGAGGAGCCAGAGAGATAGCTCAGCGGTCCTAAGCGCCTGCTCAGGCAAACTTAGGAAAGCTCAGGGATGGAGGTTCCATCCCCAGCACCACATGCCACACTGGCCCTGCCCCCAGGGCAAGCTGAGCCGGCCACACAAGAAAAGACTGTTAATTGTAAGGTACAGTAAACAGGAAGATCAGTCATTGGCATAGTATCCTGGGTTCCTTATCACTGTGACGCAATACCCAACACCCACACATTAAAGGGGAAGAGAGTTATGCTGTTTCCTGTTTTCAGTCCGCAGTCATGTGGCTCCAAGGCAGGAAGTGCACAGTGGTAGGGTCTGGCGGAGGAAAGCTGCTTGGACCATGGTGGTCGGGTAGCAGAAAGAGAAGTGAGGAGCTGGGAAGGGAGATCCAGCCTCGGAGGTCTGCCCCCAGCGACCCTCCTCTTCCAACCAGACCCCTAGCAGCCCGTCAGCAACATCACCCCATGATTCAAGCACCTTCCAAAAGCCCCACCTTTGAGTGCATGAAACCTGGGGGAGACGTTCTTGGTCTAAACCATGACATAGCATATAGGTTAAACAAATAAGTCAATGGAGCACGGTAGGAAGTACAGGATTTAAAGAGAGGTGGGATCTAGCTTGGCTGTACAGCGCCTACCTGGCAAGCATGAGGTTGTCATGAGTTCCATTCCCAGTAACAGGAAAAAGAAAAAAGAAAAAGGAAGTCCAGTACACAACCATACTTACACATTCAAATGATTTTTAAAGGTACCAAAGCAATTCAATGGGGAAAGAAAAGTCACCTTAACAATAAGTGACAGGAAAAAAAAAAAAAAAAAAAAAAAAAACTGCCTTTCTGTCAAACTTTATTTCATACCAGTTTTGCTCAGCAAATGTCTTGGAATATTTATCATCACATTTATCCATCTTTTAAGATTTTGGGATTTGGGATCATACTTAGGAGAGGAATCTCCCATACCACCTTCTGGGGAACAAAAATCTATCATTTACTAAATCACAAAATCTAGGACCATTGGAAATGCAAAGAACTTGTCATTACAAAATCATGGGACATTAGGGCCAGAGCTTTCAGAAGCCTGTTTTTTGAAAAAGACATTTCATTCATTCATTCGACCTCTGTTCACTGACTAAGCATTAATACAGCACCCACCATGTGCTGGGCATGGTATAGGCGCTGGAGACACAAGTGCAAACAAAACAGATCAAGTCCTACCTCCTAGCACCATCCAGAGGAGGGGCTACCTTCAGCCAACCCAGCATCTGCCACATGAGACCCTGCTCTGCGCTGAGGACACAGCCACGACTCTTTTCTGTAGTCTCCTAGGCCCCTGATTTCCCTACCTCATCTGAACACATGAGGAGTCCCCTTGAGAAACGTGTTCTTTGTCCCTGAGGGCCATCAAACAAATAAGAGAGCTGGGTCCTAGAGACCCAGAGGAGAGGACAAGAGGATGATAGAGTAGGGTTGGGGTGTCTGAGAGTAGAATGGCGGAGGGCAGAAGGAAGAGATGGCTCCAGGCCTGCCCACCTTCCTCTGTAAACAGATCATCGCCAAGTCAGTCAAGTTCCTGAACATGGACCTGTGGTCCAAGGAGTTGCTGAAGGCCCTGACCAAGCCCAGCCAGACCCAGAAGGACCATCCCCCGGAGAAGGTGCGTTCTGCTACCCCAGGTAGCCCCCACTCCACACACAGGCCCAGAGCTCTGTCCACAGCATGCCCAGGGCCTCAGTGAGAAGTTGGTGGGTCTGACAGGACCAGGAGCTGGACCTGAGCCTGAGCCTGCGCAGCAGACTCCAAATCACACACTGCATGGTGGCTAGGGTGGCTGCAGGACCCAGGAGTCTGAGGGAGCGTGGTCAGGGAGGCTGCTCAGAGGAGGCAGTGGGCCTGGCCTCATGGGTCTAGCTAAGGACAGGACACTGACCTCACCACCAGGCTTTCCTGTTCACCTACTATGGGCTGATCTTGCAAGCTGCAGAGGACAGCACTGCAGTCAGGACGCACCTGCAAGCCCTCCTGGAAACGTCCCACCAGTGGCCCAAGCAGAGGGAGGTAAGGAATCAGTCTCCCTCAGCCCCCACAACTGCCTGGCCCTGGCCACAGGCTTTGCCTCATCCTGGTCACAACCTGAGCCCTGACCCGGTCCTAGGTCAAGCCCCAACCTCATCACAACCTGGGTCCTTTTCCTCTACTCCTAAACATTCCTTTAACCCTCCCCAGGCACAGGTCAGTTCAGAGCTGGCACAAGGACAAGCAGCCTCCAGGACTCCTCTGCCTCTGGCCTCCCCTCATTCTGCCCACTGAACCCCATAAGAGACACCCCATTGGGCTAGGCACAGAGTTGCATGTCCTAAAGAGCCTGCTGGATTGGAGATGGGTGCCCTATGATCTTGGATGAGAACCCTACCCCTTCTATGGGCCAAGTGAGGGGCCACATCCAGTCCTGAGGTTTCAGGGTCCCCTCCTCAGTGGCACTGGGCCATCTCCAACAGGGAATCGCGCTTACTGTGGGACTGGTTGCAACCCGCCATTTGGATGACGTCTGGGCTGTCCTGGACCAGTTTGGCAGGAGCCGGCCCATCAAGTGGACTCTCCAAAGCCCCATCCCAAAGGTATCAGAGCTGCCAGGCTGGGGCCCTGGTTTGGGGTTAAGAGCAGAGTCTTGGAGCCATGGGTTCTGATTCCAGTCCCACTTGTACCTCCACCTGCAGTGTGAGACCCCATGTTTCAGTTTACTTCTAAGCAGGATTTGCCTACCTGGCCTGTTAGGGACAGAAATGGGCCATGACCACAGAAAGCCTAGCACGTGATAAGCTGGTTGTGTTGTGATGGCCGGTGTCAGGTTGTAGGATGGCTAGGGTGCATGGCTCATCTAAAACGTGAGTATACAGAAGCACCCTGCCTCTTGCTGTCTGTACCCCCTGTGACTCCTACAGGACATGGGGCCTCCCCACTTCCCTTCCAAGCTGCTACACTAATCTGCAGCCCAGAGACAGCCAGTGACTCCTGTGATCTACAGCTGGCCCAAGCCCACGTCCCAGACCTACAGAGTGTGCCTTTACCGAGGGAACAATGCCATTATGGTCCTCAGGCCACATCCATTTCCTGTTCCCTGAGTCTTACCCTCTGGGGAAACACCACAAGCCCTATTGCCATCTCTCTGGGTAGAGGCACAGAGACCCCCAGTGACCCATTGGGTTGCAATGGACCAGGTGCTGCTCCAACCAGCAGGGTGGGCTCCTGGCAGGAACCATCACAGCAGTAGACCTGGGGTCTGCCCGTCCCAGCAGAGCCAAGCCTCTGCATGCAGCCTGCTATGGCTTCCCCAAGCCCATTCCAGCCACTCACAGAGCCAACACTGTCTCCTATTTGCCTGAGGTAACCTGAGGCTCTCTAGCGATGCTCTGCAGCCAGTACTCTGTAGGGCCTAGGGTACCTCCTTTCCTATTCCCCAAGAGGAGGGCTCCAAGGGGGCCTGACATCCTCCATCTGGCCACCCCCCAGGGCCAGAGTATGGAAGACCTGCACTGGAAATGGGCAAGCAGCACCATCCTCCTCGCCTATGGTCAGGTGGCAGCCAGGGCCAAGGCCCACATCCTTCCATGGGTGGACAACATCTTGTCCAGGATGATCTTCTACTTCCGCTACAGCTCCTGGGTATGGTGGGCCACCATTCCCCAACCTGCACTCCTCAGGACAGAGTTAGGACTCCAGGCTGACACCAACACCAACGCCACCCCACTAAGAATAGTAGAGACAAAGAGACCTAGAGTCCAGGGCAGGCAGCCCATTCCTGCTCTCCCCCTAGAACTCCAGAGAGCCAGGCCTGGCTTCCTAGCTGATTCCCAGCTCATCCCCCGTGGTCTTCCATGGGGTTGCAACATGCTTAGGCTTTCATGAGAACCCATCCCCACTGCATAAAGTAACCCCCAGGCTTTCATTTTGGGGGTGGATCTGGACCCTGGGAGGGCAGTGACACCCGTGTGACTCTGCACCCCTTGCCTCCATCTTGGGGAGAAACCGCTGCCTAGCGGATGCCTCACAAAAACTTTCACAGATGTCTCCTGGGTGTTTGAACACTGTCACCTCATTCACACTTCTAAAAGCACCTCATTGCTGAGGAATCCAGCTGGCAGCTTCTGCTGTGTTTCTCAGCCACTATGCCACAGCCCTTAGCCTCACCCTTTTCCGCCTGGCTTCTTGCCCTCTCCCTTGCTCTCCTCCCTGCTCTCCCTGGCTTCTCAGCCTGTCCTGTCCCTTGTGTCCCATGCTCAGGATGAGACCCTCAAGCAGAGCTTCCTCTCGGCCACCATGATGCTGGTGGAGGCTATCAGCCGAAGCGAGGGAGCCCACAGCTACGAGTTCGCCCAGACCTCCCAGCTCCTTGAGTGTCTGATGGTGAGTGCCTGTCCCCCTCCCAGACCGGCACTTTCCTGGGCAAGAAGTCTCCTCCCTCAGACTAGCATCAGCCTGGGAGCCGCCCGCTGCAAAAGGTATGGCGTGGGCTCCAGAATATGTCCACCCACCTCATGAGCCTTCACAGCTGGAAACCTCCATGTCCCTGGCCACGTGGTGCTTCAGGGGCCCCTAGCTGGCCAGTCCCTCCTCACAGGCAATGCCTCAGAGGCCCAGAGAGGCCACACCATCTGTCCTGCACATGTCGACCTGGGCCCCAGACCAATTAAGGATTCAGCCTTCAAGGAATCCCCAGGCAGGGGCATCACACAGGAGTGGCTGGGCGCTGGTTGTAGGAACACTGATAGGACAGCCTGTCCCTCCCCACTGGAGCTCCAGCTCTGAGATTCCACACCTCACTTCACATAGGACACGCATGTGAGCCCGTGCTACGTGTGCTCTGACACACCCAGAGCAATATGGAGACTCGCCCACATCGTGCAGCCAGCTGGCAGGCAGGATGGGGACTCAGGTCCACCATGTCAGACTGAGAGACCATACTCTGAGTTTCTAAGCAAGGTCCAGTTCCCTAGAGAGACCTGTGGGACTTGGGGCTGCCAAGCACTGAGGTCTTGAGATATGCTTGAGACCCAGCCAGCATCAGAGTGGGATAGGCCAGACCCGAGTGGCTCAACCTCCACACTGGATTTGCAGGTTCTAATGGAGAAAGAGCCCCCAGGCGCACTGTGCACCACCAGCCGCCAGCAGGTCATCAACATCGTCTCCAAGCTCTGGTAGGGTCCCAGCCCACGCAGGGCCCCCCACCAGGTGGCTGGGGGGCAGGAAGGGGTTGTTGCTGAAGTGTAGCAGGGTACAGTGACATATGCTTATAATCCCAGTAGTGCTGTGAGGCTGGGGCAGGGGGACACAAGTTCAAGCTCTTCCTAGGCAACTTAGTGACTTAGACACTATCTCAAAACAACACAAAACAAAGCAAAACAAGAGTTAGGAACAAAGCTCAGTGGTGGAGGGTCTGCCTAGCATGCACAGAACCCTGGGTTCAATCCCCAGTACCAATAACAAAGAAGTCAAGGCCTCATTGGCCCAGGGCTGGGGGCCTGAGCCAACACAAGCAAAATGGGCTTGAGGTGGGTGACCTATGAAAGCCCAAACATTTGACATGGGCACAGCCCCTCCCAAGGAGACCTGATACCTCAGATGCTCCAGGTGAGAGCAGCCATTCACAGAAAGACCCCAGCACAGACAGGATCCAGAGGTCAGCAGGGGGGTCACAGAGGGATAGTGACTCTAGACCCCATCCAACCCCAAGGAAAGACAGGGAGGTTAGAGCCCTGGGGCTCAGAGACCCCTAGGCCAAGGAGCAGGCCCTGAATGAGCCCTCCACCTGCAGATGGTATGGGGAACCAGGTAAGGCTGCCCAGCGAGTAGAGGCTCAGTGAGTTCAGAGTTGCCTGCACTTGGCAGCAGAGGGTACAGTCAGGGAGTAGGCAGCCTCCTGGCCTGGGCAGATGGCTGGCAGAGCAGGGTAGGCACCCATCCCAAGGCCGGGCCAACCCACCTCCACCCACAGCTTAGCCTTTCCCAGCCTCACCTACTAATTCGCCTACTGCACACACAGCTACGGAACACCTACCATGTTTCCAGCTGTGAGCCAGCAGGAAGCAGCCCAGTTTCCTATGAGCTGACTCTCAGGGTGCAGACCATACATAGCAGAGCTGATGAAGACGCTGGGGAAAACTACAGAGGAGAGTTGGGACAGGGAGGGAATGCAAAACCCTCAGGAGCAAAGGATCATAGATGATCCAAGCTTGGGCCAATGGACTGATGGGCTATTGACTGAGTACTGATTTCAATACCCCCAAATGCCCCATGCCCTACCAGGTGCCAAGACAGTTGGAGGCTGAGATAGCCAACCCTGAAAGAGGACTTTTGAACCAAGTCCTGGAAAGGCAAGAGGGTAAATCCTGCATGTGCTTGGCTAAACAGCACATATAAAGGCTCTGTGGCTGTCATACTTCTTGGTTGTCAGAGGACCAGCAAGGGAACCAGGGAGGTGTACATGTGCACAGGTCTCTGTAGGAGACAGAAACCTCTATGGTCTGTAATATGGAAGCAGATGTCATGGGAAGCCCTGAGCTCCCACGCTTCGGGCTTGCAGACAGCCCCTTCCATCCTGCACCCTCAGCTCCTGCCCTCTCTTCCCAATAGTGAGCTGAGGCCACCCATAGACAAAGACAGGAAGTCGCGGCTCCTGTCCACCTGTTTCCGCAGCGTGTTTGCCTTGCCCTTGATGGATACCCTGGAGAGACATACCTGCCTCTTTCTGGAGCCACCTAATATACAGGTGCTGACCCTTTGGCTTGCAATGGCCAGGGACTTCATAGGCAAGACATTGGGCTCCACCTCCTGCTAATGCCTGGGAGGGGGCAGCCTGCAGGAAGGGTCCCTGTCCACTTCACAGGCAAGGCTGGGGTCCTGAGCAGTTTGCTAACTATGCTGGGCCTCCATTTTCCCGCCCGAGAAGCAGGGAGAGTAACAGAGCCATGAAAGGAGCCAGGGGACTGAAATGAGCGCCCGCGTGTGCATGCCCGGCGCAGGGCACTCTGCACGCAGGGACACGAGTGACCTCCCATCCTGAGCAGGGTCACCGAGCAGCGACCACCCTGCCAGCCTTGACTGGTGGGCTGGGTGGCAGGGTCAGGTTTGCATTTTCTTCTGAGCAACACCAGCAGGCCAAGAGAGAGGCACAGAAGAAGAGATGAGTCCCCCAACCTTGTAGGAATCCAAGAGTCCCAGGCCAGTCACTAAGTCCTGGGGCACCTGGAGTCAACCCGTTACCTTTCCAGCGGTGCAGCGCAGACTCACTGGACAGCTGCCTAAACCGCGTGCTCCTCACGGGCCTTGTCCAGCCCACCTGCTGCCACAGCTGCACTGCAGGAAGGCGCTGTCTTCCTTTTGCTCAGGCCCCGCTTGCCCTTGCTTGCGGTCACAAGGGGGCACACGTGGCTCACGGGCACAGTCGGTGCTGGGCGTCCCCCCACTAAGGCCAGGTGGCTAATGAGTGTCACTGTGGACACTTCCTGGTAGCCACCAGAGGGCGAGGAAACCCCCTCAGAGGAAAGAGGTTGGCTGGTGAAAGAGCCAGGGCTTGAATCACACCCCAGTGCCCTAGGACATCGCGCCACCCTCAAGGCTGGGTCCAGACTAAAGCCCACAGCCAGCCCACTGGATGCAGTGATGACAGAGCAGGGTCCCCTGGGCTCAAAGAACACCACAGCCACAGCCCTCCAGTAGACAGCCCATGACCCTGCAGGGAGCCCCAGAACTGGGACACTGGGCTGAGCTCCTGCAACTCTATCCTATCTGGCATGCGGGGCTTGCTTCCTGCCGTCCCTACGAACACACATGGCCCCTGGGAAGTGACTCTAGCCCTCCAGGGTAGCCAGCCAGCCAGCATCCAGAGGCTCACTGGCTCCTGGTGCCCTGTAGTGGGCGGAGTTGCTGTGGCCCTTCCCTCTAAGAGTGTGCCCAGCAAGCAGAGCAGTTAAGCTATCGGGAACCTGGTGAGAGCCCCAGAAACCAGAGCCAGCCGCATAATTTGCCGGGCCTAGTGCAAAAGGAAAGCCAGGTCCTGTTTAAAACTTCAAAGCAGCCACAGCAGACTGTCGCAGCTAACACAGATCACCCACCAAAGAGGCCAGCCTGCTAGAAACGAGTTCTCCTGGCAACCCAAAACCTGTATCCCTGGGTGGTCCTGGACAGCCTCCCTGCCCCATCTCTGTGTCTGTGGTGGGGCCCCTCCTGAGCCTGGCCTGGGGTGTGCATGTGTGGGCACCACCCAAGTGCTGCAAACCCCCCCATCCCCTTGTCCCACACTTGGCTGACACCGCTCACCCCCGCAGACCCTGTACAGCCAGACAATGGAGGCACTGGACCGCATGCTGCAAAGCTTCATCATGCAGTGCCCCACAGCCAGCGAGCTGCAATCCCTGCTGTTGGTACGTGCTGGTGGGGCACCCTGGGGCTGGGGACAGAAAGCCAGAAGAAGGACCCAGAGAACCCAGGGCCTTCCCAGGACACTTATGGATTGAGGGGGTTTGTAGGAACTGGAGAGTAGGAGTGGCAGCCCCCTTCAAAGAGAACTTCCCCTGCTGCGTCCCCAAGAGCCCACAACCTGAGGCTTCCACCCTCCCCTGCATGCCAGGAGTCCTGCCCTGAATGAAGGGAAGCCAGTCAGACAACAGACAGTGATGACCCAGAGTCCCCAGCCTAGAGGGAATGCTGGCTCTGCCCACAGAGTCAGAGACCAAGGCCAGTGGAACTTCTCCAAGGAGCCCTGGTTGAGGACCTAGGTAGGGTAGAGCCCGACAGGCAGACCATGGCAAGGATAAAGTAAATGCACTCATTTGACCATGGTGGAGGGAGCTGCTGTGGCCAGCAGGACGAGGTAATTAGAATAAGAGTCAGGTCAGCAGACTTGCCCACTCATAAGAAGCCAGTCTGAAGCCCGGTATGGTAGCGCATGCCTGTAATCCCAGCTCCTCCAGAGGCTGAGATAGGAGGATTGCAAGTTAGAGGCTACCCTGGGTAACTTAGTGAGCCCCTGTGTAAAATAAAATTTGTAAAGGAGTGGGAGTGCAGTTTAGTGATAGCATTTGCCTGGCACGTGGGAGACCCTGAGTCCAGGCTCCAGTAAAGAAGAAGAGGAAGGGGAAGGAGGGAGGAGGAAGAGATGAAAAGAGAGGAGGAGGAAAGGAAGATAGTGGAGGAAGAGGGATGAGAGAGGGGAGAGGGAGAGGAAGTGGAGGTAGAGGAGGTAGGCGGAAGGGAATGGAGAAAGACAGGAGAGACAGGAGGGAACCAGGGGCCCCCAGCTTGGAGGCATAGGCACCAGCTAAGAGCCATTGTGAGCAGCCTGGCCTAGGGAGCAAGGCGCCATGCCATCCCCTAAGTGCCAAGTGGCAGTGGCTGCCAGCAGCGGAAGTCCCGGTAGCTACCGAGCAGTCACTCAGTCTCCAAACGCCGTGCCCTCACTCTCTTCACTTCACCGCGGGGCCCACTCCAGTAGGCTGGAGTGCGGCCTCGGACTACACAGCACGGCTGTACAGAGGCCTGTGTGCGCACACATGTGGGGAAGCATGGTTCTAGCGGGAGTGTGGGGCAGGCTAGGAACCAGGAGCCCTGGAGGGCTCCATATGGGAAGAAATGACACTCCTGCAGGAAGCTCCTGGGGACAGAGGATGTGGGGGAGGCTAGACCAGGTTTGGGAAAAGAGCAGTGGAGGCTGGACAGGGAGAATGCAGAGACCAGGCCCTCAGCAGAGGGGTGGGCGGGGCCGCCATCTGGGCGGGGCCTGAGCAAGGGTGGGTGGGGCTGGCCAGTACCCCTGCCCTCCCCAGCATCTGTATCCCTGGCTGGCATCAGAGAAGGCACACGAGAGGCAGCGCGCTGCATACAGCTGCATGATCCTGCTCAGGTTCCTGAATCGCCGATGCTGCCTGGATGTGAGTACTCCACCCCATCTAGACACAACTGGAGCTGGGCCTCTTGTCTCACTCAGGCTCTTTGGCAGTGGGCAGCCCAGGGGGTGTCTCCTTTTAAACTTGAGGAACAAGGCCTCATAGCTGGACCCTGAACCCAGATGGCACTGGCCTTGACCCGGGAGAGGGCTCTGCTCTGCGCACTTGAAGCCTAGAGCAGGTGCTTCCCCTCCCCCAGCCTCAGCGTCTCACCTATAGAATGAATAACGATAGAGTCTCCTTAGAGAGCCAGGTGGGAATCTTTGGTAACTTTCTGGGAACGCTCCTGCTTTAGCAGCCAAAATCAGCACTAACTCCTGGGAGAAGGTGGGCATCGGTGCCTCATGTGATACCTGAGGCTGCCTGGGCTAAGGAAGGTAGGGGGTGCGAGCGCTGGAGAGGAAGGGACTGCTGTGCCCCAGAAAGTCGCTTGTCCCAGAGAAAGAACCTTCTAGAATGGATCAAATTGGCTTCAGTTTACTCACAGTCCACGTCCATACCACAGGACTGGGATCAGGGTAAGGCAAGGAAAAGATACTTTGCCTGGGTGCAAAATACAGGGGCACCAAAACCCCATAGTCAAAATTAATCATATTTTAAGTGAAGAGTGTGACCATGGCCAACAGGCTAGCCTCCTGTCTTTATTAAATAAAGTTTCATTGGAACTGGGGCAGGCTGTACAAAGTTGGATCCTGTCTAAAGATTATGACCCTTGATCATGGAGGGGAATTATTTTTTGCATTCACTTTTATCAGCACTGCGTTAACATGATTTCCTTTGATTACCAAGTTCTTCGCCAGCCCCTTATGTCCCAGCCCTGTCATGTAATTTGATAGGAACCTTCTGACATAGGTGTGCTGGGGTGTGTACATGGCTGGGCAGGGACTCCAGGGGTGTGCCCTACCATGTAGTTCCACACTCTTAACACAGCCAAAGGAGGACTTCAGACCAATGGGACAACTGATGGGCACTCTGGGAATTCTGTGCCAGGACTCGGACAGGACCACTCAGAACTCCAGCCTGGAAGGAGTGGCCCAGCTCTACCAGTTCCTGATACACCAGAAAGGTGAGCTTCCACAGGCCATCACGGAGGACCCTAACCCCAAAGCATCCCTGACCTCCGCCATCACTCTGCAATGGCTTCACCCAACCCCTAAACCCACAGGCACTCCCATCTCCAAAATGGAACACAGGCCTGACCCTGATTACAAATGACCCCACCCTAACCATCATCCTGTCCCCACATAGATCCTGGTCCACTCTTGCCCTGCTTCAGCCCTGCTCTGCCTCTGGCCAGCAGAAGCGGCTTTGCAGGCAGAATTACAGATCCAACAGGAGCTCTCCCAGTCTGGAGCAGATGAAGCCTCCCCGTGGAGCACTCAAGACCAAAGAACCACAAAGGTGGTGCTCCCAAAGGACAGTCTATTCCGACAGGACAGCTCCAAAGCCATCAAGGTCAAAGCTCTTACAGTTGTGGCAGGGGAAGGTGGGGGCATGGCAGGAGTAGACCTGGAGATCCTCCAGTGGTGGGAATAAACTCACTTGCTCTTTCCTACACCACTGAGATGGAGCTGAGGGGGTTGGAGGGAGCCAGCACACATCAGATGCCAATCATATACCAGGGGCATCACAGGCATTAACACCTCCTTTTTCTCAAATTTTAAAAACCTGCCCTTCCCTGCTCAAAATTTCCTGTGCCATGATTTGAATTATATTTGTCTCAAAAGAGGACCACAGGCTGAGATGCATGTGGGAAGTGGGTGCAGGGCCAGATTCGCAGAGCCTCAGAGTCGTCAGTTCCTGTCGTCTGTGAGGTGGTGACTTTTGCTTGCCCATGTTGGGGTTGAACCTTAGCCAGCGAAGACCATGACTGTCGGTCTGATTAGACCTGAGCCCTCCAGGCCACACACAGGGGCTCCCTAGAGCTCAGCGCAAGGTCTAGAGGTGAAGCTGGCCTTCAGCACACAGCCACGAAGTCCAATCAGCCTGAACCAGATGATGGAGGGTGTGCAGCTAGTAGTGAGTGCCCCGGCGGGCCTCGACCCAGTCCCAGAGGCCTCCAAAACTTGTGCTTTCATAGCTGTAGTGAGCTGTCCATGTGCTGAGACCCATCAGAACTTCAGCACTGTCATCATCTCTGTCACATCAATGTGCAACACCAACTAGCCGCAACATCATCAACTCTCCCAGCACCACAATCCACAGTATAATCCCCATCTCCACCGCCACCAGCGTCCCCACCAGTCTCACCACCACACCATCACTATGCCCCTCACCCCATCCTCATCACCACCGCCCCTCTCCCTCACTGCCTCCTCCATCCCACACTTATTCATGCCCTTGATTACAGTGGGTTAGTTCAGACGACTGCCAAGCCTGAAAGAGTATACTCTGGGGTCCTGAGAGTCTGACCACCTTGAACACCCCCACCTGAACCTTCTGGGAGGTGAATATGTTCTATGGCTGTGCATCCAGAACAGCTGTTCACCACCTCGCTGCTAAGCACTTCAGATGTAATCTGTGCTGCTGAGGAAGTGAACCTTTCATTTCACTACATTAATTTAGATTTAAGTAGCTATGGTTGGCTGGGGAATACCATGTTGAGCAACAGGACTCCCAATCTCTCCAGAAGGTCCTGCCTGCACAGGACCCTTCTTCACCCTACCCTGAAGAACGGGGATCAGACCCACCACCTTGGCTTTCTCCAGGAGCCCTTTTGTCTTCTGATCAGCCTGCAGAGGAGAGAGCCACCTCCCTGGCCCTTTAGAGTAGCCCCAAGAGAATGTGAGCAGCGACACAGTGGGGGTGCTACAGAGGACCCCTGGGTTCCACACTGGTCTGGCCCCACCTCTGCACCCTCCCCTGCTCCATGGCTGAAGGTTGTCTGTCGTGCACCTCTCTAGGCCAGGGGTTTTATCTAGATAACCTCAGTGATCCTTCACAGCTTGGAGGTTGTCTCTGTGATTAAAACAGGTAATAAGGAGAAGGGTCTGGCTATGGGGAGCAGTGAGCACCCCCCTAGGCAGAGACTAGTAAGTGATAGTGCCCAAGAAGGCAAAGACAGGCAGAGTTCAGGGAGTGCTGAGCAGCTACAAGGACCCCAGAACCAGCACAGAGACCAGGAAAGAAGAGGAGCCCTGTGCCCAGTCTGACTGGTACCCTCCCCGCCTGCCCTGGGCTGTGGCTGGCCATAGCTGCAAATGTTGGGCCCACATGAGGGGCCCTGGAAAATGGATGCTGGGAGACACAGGGAGCCTGAGTAAAAGTGGAAGTAGAGGAGTGGGCCAGGGGCACATGGGTCCAAAGTGACAAGGTGACAGTCTCTCTGCTCCCACAGGAGATCGTGAGATACCTCACAGTGGCCGAGCTGACCGACCTCGTCTGGACAGTCATTGAAGGCCTGGGCTCCACCAATGCCGTCCGCGTGCAGGCAGCTGCTGAGCTGCTCCTCACTGTCATTCAGGAGCATGGGGCCAAGCTGGAGACAGCAAAGGTTTGGGGTGTCCAGATAGTGGGGGAAAGGTGGGGGTAGGGCTGGCAGCAGTCAGGGACATTCTCTGCACTGAGACTGAATCTTTGCACTTGGACCAGATGGGCAAGATTCAGATCCCACCCTAGACAGCAACCAATTGAATGAATGAATGAATGAATGAATGAATGAATGAATGAATGACCCAAGGATTCTTCTGGGGGCCTAGTGGGGATTGCAGGTGAGGAGCATACATGCTCAGATTGAACCCTAGCATGTGCCCTAGTACAGAAGTGAGATGGGGAGGAGGCACAGACCAGACCCTCAAGGAACTGGTGGACAAGAATGGACAAGATGGCTCAGTAGACACAAGGCAGAGGAGGTGGGTAGGAAGCATCCCAGCAAGAGGATGGAAGATACTAGGTTAGCAGATAGGTAGCTTCAGGCAGCAGTGCTGGAGCCAGGCCTTCATGGACACACAGAAGAGTCCCAAAAGTAGAGGGGAAAGGTGCCCCAGGCATACAAGCAACAGATGCAGAGCAGTGAGTTTGGAAAAAGATGAGGAGGAGCAGGGCTCTGATCTGTCCTGACACTTCTGTGGGCAGACTGTGAAGTTCCCAGATGCCTCTGAGGATGGTGAAATCCATCCAGCAATCCAGGGTAGACAGGACTGTGTCCCTCCACTCAGGATCCGCCCCCAGCAGGGCAGGTCCTCCTGCATCTCTGACCTCTCCCTCCCTTGACAGGTTGCTAACATGGGTCGGGCCATCCACTGCCGCCTCTGTGCTGTCCACATCCCTGAGGTCAAGGAGAATATTCTGTATGTCATCACCCTGCTAGCGCGGGACCACACCTCTGAGCTGGTGGCTGCCTTCCTAGACTTCTCTATGCCCTTGGACAGGTGCCAATCCCATCTTCTCTCTCTGTCCCTGGAACCCACAACTCAGCCGCTCCTGCAGAGCCCTACATAGCCATGGTGGGCATTGGGGAGGTTCTGTTCACCATCTGTCTGACACACCCCATATGAAATGTCCCACCTCGCCCAGTGAACTAGAAGTACGTTGGAGCCCTAGCGTTCTGCCAAGACTCAGCTAACCCCAGAGCCTGCCCATCTATCAGCAGAGCCACCTCCTCTCCTCCTGCCCTCCAAACACTCTCTGATCCTTCTCGCTCTTCTCTTCACTCAGCAGCTTCCCAGTCCATTCAGTGGTGCTGGTTTTTCTACCATGGCCCCCAGATCAATAGACTGGAGGTGGCCCACGGCCCTTGCTATAGCTACTTCTCTCTAAACTCCAGCTCTGAATCTCCTATACTCAATCTATGCTACACCAATCCACCACACATCTATACTGGGCCACTCCCTTGTTCTTGAGGATGTAGCTCCTTGAATTTCTCACCCTTATGTGATACTGGGAATTTTATTCCTTCCCATATCCTGTCTTCTCCTGAGATCTTGTCTTCCATTCTCCTTCAGCTGCCCACTCTCATGGTCCTGCCCTCTGCTACATCATCATCAAATTCAAGCATCCCCCTCAAAACACTTCCCACCATTATAGCGCCTCTCTCTCTCTCTCTCTCTCTCTCTCTCTCTCTCTCTCTCTCTCTCTCGCTCACTCTCGCTCACTCGCTTATACCCAGCGATCCTCTGCCCCCAGGACACATACCTTCATCTGTCCTTACCTGGCTCCCACCCAAGTCCTGGGGCTCAGGACCACCCCACCCAGGGAGGTCCTCATAGGCATCCAGTGCCAGCAGTTCTTTCCAGGGAGATTTCTAATTTCAATGTGGAAACACCTTGGTTTTTCCAGTAATTTCTAGTTTTATTGCATTGTGATCAGTGTTTTTCATGATATTTCCATTTTGTGGAATGTACTGAACTTTTAAACTTTTTATTTATTTATTTATTTATTTATTTATTTATTTTTATAGGTACAAACCTCTGGTTTTTTTTAAGTCAACAGAAAATGGAAATATACTTTTTAAAGTTTCTAATACTAGGAGAAGATATCATACAATGTCTTTTTAAATAAATTGTAAGTCAACAATACAGTATAAATCTTAGAACAAAAATTAAGATTAAGCAATATTCAGAAAATTAAATGTTTCAAAACAATTGAACTAAGAAAAAGTTTTCGTGATAGCAAAGAAGTACTAAGAGTAAAACAAGATAAATACTGGAATGGCAAATAAATGACCAGCACTTCTAACAGTTTGAGGATAGGATATCGCACAAAGTTCTAGTGTGTTGTGGACATGCATAATGACCGTGACAGTTACTGGTGGCTAGGTGTCACTTGTGGTACTGAGCTACAGCTATTTCTTTGAAATCCACCCTGTAGACTCAAGTGGAATCATGACCCATAGGGTGGAAGAGAAGTCCATTTGTAGAGTGTGCTGATGGAAATATTCTGCTGCTGAACACAAAAGAATAACTGAAAGACTACTATTGTATACCTCTTATTCTCCTCTGTTTGTTTGCCCTATTTGGTGGATTCTTTCCATTCTCATTCATGGGGCTGTGATCAATTTGCCCCCTCTCTAGAACATCATTTAGTAGTCTGTGTAGGCTTGGCTTTGTCATCATGAAATTCTTTAGTTGTTCTTTGTCATGGAAATATTTCACTTCTCCATTATATTTGAAAGATAGTTCTGCAGGATATATCAGTCTGGGTTGGAATTTGTTTTCTTGCAAGACTTGAAGTACTTTGCTCCATGCTCTTCTTGACTTGATGGTTTGTGAAGAAAAATCTGCCGTTATTCTGATGGGTTTTCCTTTAAATGTGATCTGTTTCTTTTCTTTAGCGGCTTTTAGTATACTGTTCCTATGCTGAATTTCTGGAATCTTGATTATTATGTGTCTGGGTGTGGTTTTCATTGGATTGATATTATTTGGAGTTCTATATGCTTCGGTTACAGGAATGTCAGATTGTTGCCCCATATTTGGGAAGTTTTCTGCTATTACTTCTGCCCATATTCTTTTTATATCATTTGTATTGACTCCTTCCTTCTCATTGATGCCTATTAGTCTCACATTGTTCATCTTTGCATTATCTTTCAGGTATTGAATTATTTTTTTCTGCATCCTAGTTGACTTTTAAACTTTTTAGTGAAATGTCCCATAAGAACTTGAAAAAAGGGTGTATTTCCTATCATCAGAGCATGGAATATGGTATCTATGCCTCAGGCTTACTTTACCAGTTAGTGTATGTGGTTTAGGTTTTCTACTTCCTTACTTAATTCATGCCCATTTAACTTGTCTTGTACTGAGAACGTTTAAATTTTTAGTAAAGAAGCAATAGTAGGGTCAGCCAAATAGCTCAGTAGATTAAAGCACCAGCAAGCAGGCGCAGGGTCTGGGGGTTCAATGCCTGGGTCTGCCATGCCAGCCCCGCCCCCAGGGCTCACTGAGACAGCAATTGAGATGAGACTGGGCATGGTGGTGCACGCCTGTAATCCCAGCTCTTGGGAGGCTGTAAACAGGTGGATCACTCAGAGTCCGATCTAGTAGTGAGACCCTGAACACCCTGTAGACCCTTCCCTAAAATACCAAAAAAAAAAAAAAAGGAGAAGAAGAAACAACACCATGTTTCTATATATTTGTCTGTCCTCTATATTTACTGACCTCATCAATATGGTTGCCTTATGATTTGGTGCAGGCACACTCAGAGATGTTCTAGATTATTTATGGATTGTGACTTTTAGCATTAAAAAGTGTTCTTTGGGGACTTGAGTTGTATTTGTTGTCTAAATCACTGCTATGCTTTCCAACGCTTTCCCACTGTTCAGGACGCATGTATGCATGCTTTTGTATAACCTTTTCAGAATCCCTGTTTTATGTATGCATCTTAGATACAGCATGTAGTTTGATTTGAAATTATGACTGAAATTGAAAGCCTTTTTTAGTATAAAATTTGGGCCATTGACATTTAATGATATAATTGGTATGCTTTGTCTACCAGAGCAGTTAGGAACTACATATGGTTATATTTGCTATTTTACTCAATGAGGTATATTCTTAATGAGGTTGTCTGTTTTGAATTTAGGGGGTTTTTATATTAGAAATTTAACCCAAGGCCTCATACATGTTAATGCTCTATCACTGAAATGTATCCCCAACCCCTTTTTATTTTATTGTGAGACAGTCCTGTTTAGTTGTCCAGGCTATCTTCAAACTTACAACCCTTCTGCCTCAGCCTCCTAAGTAGCTTGGATTACAAGCATGCACTACCACACCAGGCTGTGTCTTAGTTTAATTTATGGAGAATTATAATTTTGTTCGAGATATTTATTGTGCTTCTCACCTGATTTTATTTTCATTTCAGTTTATTTTTTGGTACTGGGATTTGAACCCAGAGCCTTGGACATGCTAAGTGTGTGCTCTCCCACTGAGCTATTCCCTCAGCCCTCCTAACCTGCTTTATCATTTAAGCTTTTAGTATCCAGCTCACTTATTTTTATTTGCTGTCCTTCCACTCCCACCCTTTCCTGCACAGCAGGAGGTCTCTGTTCCTCTGTGTGCCTCCCTTCACCTCCCACCTCCCGGTGATCACAGCTTCTCTTGCCAGTGTGTGTAACATTTGCGCTCCTGCTGCCTGGCCATCTCCGGGTTCCCTCCCTAGTGCATGGACAGCTGAGTTAGGGAGCTTCCTCACCAACACCCACAACTTACAGGAGGAGGAGTTTAGTTTGACTCGCAGTCTCAGAGGGTTCAGTCCGTGCTTGGTGGCCCCAAGGCAGAAAGAGCCTGGCAGGAAGACAAGACAGAACAAATATGCTTTGCATGGCAGCTGGGAGGCAGAGGAGGGGACAAACATAAGAGAGGGAAGGCCAAGGGTCACACGTACTACTGAGGCCGAGTCTCCATGGCTCTCTCAGACCCAACTGTGAGCTCCACCAATCCCTTGAGTGGCCCCCAGAGTGAGTCAAGTTGTCAAGCACGTTTAACTGTCACAAAACCACATCCCTGGCCATCCTCGTGCGGTGTCGCCTGGCCACCTCTCTGCTTGGTGAAGTCCACCCTCAGCCAACCTCAGGGAGGGCTCTGGGCTCTGGAGCAACTCGAGTGCTTCTCTTTCTGAGGTTGTCCACTCAAGGGCACACTGTGACGGCCTTGCTCACACCTGCCCTTGTGAAGAGTCTTTACCGTGCTGCTCTGTCGCTGCCTTATTTTGGCTCCTTAAATTGATGACACAGGTGTTTTGCTTTGTTTTGTTTTGCATTTTTAAGGTAGTTGGTTTTTTTGTGTGGTGAAATTCAGGATTTTTCATCTTTGAAATCTCATCGTCTAACTAGGAAGTGTCTCAGAGTTTATCATTCTGGGCTAATGTTTCCAGGTACCTCGTATATCTTTTGATTATTTGATTTAGGTCTTTTTGTCATTACTTCTGGAAAGTTTTCTTGTTTTGGGATTTATTTCTTTATTTTAAAGGCTAGGGCCAAAATGTTGGCTGTCCTTGCAGCCCTTCTTTTTCTCTAATTTTTGGTCTGCAAACTTAGGTCATTAACCCTCCAGAAGAGAAGCTTATTATTATTATTATTACCCTACAACATAGGCAGTTGAGCTTAACCTCACTTATATACTTGTTTATTCTGTTGTATTTTTTAGGGAAAGGTCAACAGGGTGTTCAGGGTCTCACTACTAGATCGGACTCGTAGTGATGCTCCTGTTTACAGCCTCCCAAGAGCTGGGATTACAAGTGCACACCACTACGCCCAGTCTCAATTGCACGCCTGGGGGTGGGGCCAGCACGGCAGGCCAGGGATCGAACCCCTGACCCCTGCACCTGCTTGCAGGTGCTTTAAACCACTGAGCTATTTGGCCAGCCCTCTGGATTTTTTTTTAAAATAATTTTATTAAGAAACAATAGCAATGAGACAGTTTCAAAACCGATTAGTAGGACA